AGAGAGAGAGAGAGAGAGAGAGAGAGAGAGAGAGAGAGAGAGAGAGAGATTTTCCTATGTGGCTTCTTAGACATTTTCTTATAATACTCTGTGATTTTACTTTCAAGACATGCGCTTTTTTTCCCCTTTAAGTGTGGCTGAGCAAGGGGAGGGCTTCTTTCAGCTTTTCCAGGGTTTATCAGCAGGTCTAATTGAAGAGAAAAATTTGCTAATGAATCTGCAAGAGTAGGAATCAATAGAAGCAATCCTTCTGGTTTCTGAGTATGATATGTTTCTAATCAGAATGATGCATTAGATAGAATTCCTCCTCCTCTCTGCTCATTGAAAACTTTAATAACATCCTAAAGGGATAGCGAATAAGACATTTAGTGTGATTACAGTATTCAAGGGTCAAGAATATTTTGAAGCCCAAATAGAAATACTCAATATATTAATATTGTATTATGTGTTATTGTGTTCCTTTTATTACTAGCCCAAATTAAATTTCAAGGAAGAAATACCTTTCTGGAAGCATTGGACAGCAACCCAGGTATAAAGGGAAACACATCTGTAGATGTGTAACTAATTAGATCATAAATGCAATGTGACTTTGACTAAGGTACAATTGTGATGTGTCACAAGGTGATCACTTGAAAGCCATCTGCTATCTTTGGTGGCCAGTTTAGTTCCAGGGAAATGACACTTCCTTTCTCCATAACTGCCAACTAATAAAAGAGAGCGATGTTAGGTGTGTGATATCGTTCAAGTTTCTGGTGGTAGCAGCCAATGGGGCAGAATAGTCATATCTTATTAAAAGCAGCAACAAGTTGACGGCCTGTGGTTTTAATTCTGAGAACTCAGCAAATGCTACAGCTTATTTTTAGTACCCTCAAACCACTGCTGCTGCTTTTCGATTCATTTTGGTTGACTAACACTGAATTTAAAATTCAGCAATGTTGGCTTCCTCTTAGCATATGGTTATCCCTCTCAGAAAGCTGCCCACCAAAAAGTAAACTGGTGAGGGAGCAGTAGCAAAGAGAAAGAATAGAGAAAGGACAAGAAAAAAGTGTTGTCACCTGATTTACTGGTGGCATAAATTATAGATCCTGTGGCATCTGAATTTTCAGATCTTGATGCAGCTTAAGAAACCTGTTTGAAAATCTTCCCTCAGCTGTGGGAAGAATAAGGTTAAAAACAGCATGGTATAAGCTTTAGTTAATAGTGATTGCAGATAAGATAGAGATGCTTAAGATGATTCTCTTTCCTGCTTTATGCACTACTATTTTTTTTAATCCTAACAGAAACTGGAAAATTGCAGGAAGGCCAAAATTCAAAAAGTGGGCATGGATATATTATTTGGTGTGGATTAACCTAGCCAATGAGCTTGTATTGCCTAACTCACCTATTCTTCAGGCACTTTGTCTTGAAAAATACAGAATTATAGTTCTTTTTAAGCACACTTACCATTGCGTGAATCATGAATAATTCACACAACACAAGCAATTCACACCTGTGAGAGGTGTTGGGCAGGAAAGAATAGAGCTTGTTTGTCATGACAGCTGGGTTCTCTCAGCAAAGGCCACAGTCTGAGAAATTAGGGCACTTTATCAACCTATTAATCACTATTTTCAAGGGCTTACTATGTACCAGGCAGTAAGTTATAAGCCCCAGCTTCAAGATGTTAGATAAAGGATTTCTTCTAGCTCTGAAGTTCTGGAATCATTGTCTTTGAATTCTGGTTCCACCACTGACCCACTGGATATCTTGGGATGAGTTGATGAGTTATTTATCTTCTTCAAGCCTCAATTTCCTCTGTAAATAAAGCTAATACTAATAATGAGACTTCTTCATAGAAGTGTTATGGGGAATAAGTGAAATAATGGGTGTAGAGTATTTAGCACAGGGGCTAACACTTAGTAAGTGCTTAGTGCAAAACAAATAAATGAATAAACAAAACCTCCTTTGAGGATGAAAAAGAAATCACTCACTGGCTTGGACTTTAGATGCAGAAATAAGTTCAATACACGTAATATCTGCTTCCCCCAGCACATCGTAAATTTGGTTCTGAGTTTTGGGCTCCATTAAACAATTAATTTGTTAGTGTCTTGCTGGGTTCATGCATAGTTTGAGTCTTTGGATTGGAAAAATGAATCAACATCCTTCCCTCTACCACGAGCAGCAAAAATGGTCAAGGAAAGATTCACCTGTATTCCAGTTTGATACAATGACTTCTGCAGAGGAGAATGCAGGGAAGGAAGTGATTGCTTCAGTTTGGAGTGGTCAGTGGATTGACATGAGTTGGGCCTTAAAGAATGAGTAGAATTTTTCCAGAATGCAGATAGGAGGGAAAGGCATTTCAGGAAGATGAAAGAACTTAGGCAAAGGCATGGAGATGGGGCAGTTCATGACCTTATTCCTGTATCCTTAGGCCTGTTGATCCTCTTTCCTGCTGGGTGCTCTTATCTGGACAGTCATGCTTAGAGACCCCTAAGCAGCAGCATGCACAGACATGTTGGACCACTTAGTGCTCTGCTAATGCAGGAGTTTTTCTTTCTGCAGGTAGCAGTGGGTTTGATGGGACAGTTTCGGAAGGCTTAGGACATCTTTTGGGAATGGAGCACCAGAAAAGGAATAATTGATTCTGTAGCATCCACCATATGGAAAGGGGAACTCAGCAAAGGTCAGACCTCCCCTAGAGGGATAGTTGTGGGAGATTTAGGTTTGGTTGATTTGCGCAGAGTAAAGCTCTAATAATTTACTCAGTATTAAGCTCAAAGTCTTCTGATTTTTCTGAGAATAGTTTCTCACTTGCTGTTGTTTAACTACAGCATCCAAGTGTGTCATTTACTCCATGTTACCAACTGAGACATAACAAATGAAATAATCAGGTTAAAATTAATTTAAAAATACATTCTCTGAGAACTCTTCTGAAATTTCTTCTAGAATATTCAATTAGGTGTAAAAGAAATTGCTGTGCCTTTGTTTGAATGATAACGGGTGGTAATTAAATTTCACAATCACCTAGATTGGCAGGAAAGTTTGATTACTTTTATTATTTTAAATCACAAAAAAACTCTATCCATAAACTTTTAATCTAGCCTATGGTACTTGATTATACTCTGAAACAAACAATGCTGATTTTCAAAACAATTTTCTTAATAATCATGGGTTACATTTGCTTTTATAATTTAAGTAAGATTTTTTTGCGTATTAGTAATGAGATTGCCAAATGGATAATTTTACAGAGGCAAGAAGAAAATCAACCCAAGCAAGTAATAAATAAATGAGATATTTTCTAGTAACTGAAAAAGGTTTAATATTAAACCTTGAAGAGGCCCCCAGGATAAGAAGTTAAGATTTTGAAAACATTAAGCACATGGTATTATAAAAATGAAGTCAACATAGACTGTTTTTGTGTGTGTGTGTGCCGGAGATCGAACTCGGGACCTTGCACTTGTGAGGCAGGAGCCGGAACCACTGAGCTAAATCCCCGGGCCAACATAGACTTTTTAAATTAAAAGGCAAATGGAAAAAGGTAAAATCAGTATTGTGTGCAGAGTTATAAAAACAGTAATTGGGAAAAGACCATTCCTGAATGGATTTGAGGTATTTATTTATCTGGAGTTTATGTTATTGTGGCCCAGGTAGATAATGCTATTTTCTGTTATCACACTGGTGTTGAACCTAGAAAGGATAAGTAGGAAATTTCCTCACTCATCATTTTGGAATCGTGATCAGAGATATAAACAAGTCTTCCAAATTCCTGTATGTGGAAGGCAAAACTAAACTATGGTAATTCTGGGAAGACTTATATATGTATGATTAGAACCTCCATGGATCCAATACCACAAAACAAGGTGTCATGATGAAACACATTTACATTGAGAAGTCTTCTTTTTGGACTTTTGAATTCTTCAGAAATTTTCTTCTGGAATATTCATATATGGGTAAAAAATTGCTTTGCCTTTGTTTTAATGATAACTGCTGGCAATTAGATTTCACAATCACTTAGACTGGCAGAAAGGTTTGATTACCTTTTTTTTTTTAAATCACGTGCACACAAATTGTACTTTAAAAAAATCACAAAATAATTGCAAAGCTGTGATTAACCCTGAGAGAGATTGACTCAGATGAGGTGCATTGGTCCTTGTTTTTTTGATGGCCTTTCCACCCTTCATTTTAACTTAGCTTTCACTGGCTATTTGTAGTGACTCAGATGAACCAAGTGATACAGAGTCTGAGAGATAAAGACATTCTTCTGAAGCAAATTTGTTATGGATTAGATCTTAAATGTCCTCCAAAGACCACGTAAAGTGTTGGTCCTCAAGGTGGTGCTATTGAGAGCTGATGGAACCTTTAGGAAGAGGGGCCTAGTGAAAGAAACTAGGTCATTTGGGACATGACTTTGAAGAGGGTATCAGACCCAGCTCCTTACTCTTTTTCTCTTTGCTGTCCACATCCTCTGTCATGTGATCCAAGTTATGCTATTTTGCTGTCATAGGCCCAAAAGCAATGTAGCCAAGAGACTATGGACTGAAACCTCTGAAACCATGAGCCAAATTACATCTTTCCTCCTTTAAGTTGATTTATCTCAGGCATTTTATCACAACAATGGAAAGCTAACTAATACAGTATTTCAGTGTTTCACAAAGGCCTCACTGATTTGTGTATTTTGCTGAAATTCCAGTTCCTTCTACCAACCCCCTAAAATGTATTGGGTGATTCTGTCATTTGTTCAACTTGTTTTTTGTTTTTCAGTACTGGGAGCTGACCCCAGGACCTTTACACTGGGCTATATTCAACACCATTTTTTACTTTTTATTTTTAGACAGGGTCTTACTAAGGTGCTAAGTTGCTCAGACTGAGCTTGAGCTTGTGATCCTCCCATCTCAGCCTTCTACAATGC